GAGAATAGTAATTGCAAAAAAAGGATAATGCTTTACAGCAAAACGCCGTCGTTGCATGATCGCCGGCGTCTCTTTCTCATCACCGTCGGACTTCTGATCTTGTCGAGTTTAGTTTCTTTCTCTGATGGAGTTTCTTCTTCTTGTCAGAATCATCCATCCACAACACCATTTCAAGGTTCTTCACATTCTTTAATTTTATTACTATATATCTTTAAATCTAAATTTTTTGTTTTTTCCCCTTATATTATAAAAATCTAAGAAAAAACCCCTATTTTCTTTTGAAAACAAATCTCAACAATATATGATTTTTGTTTTACAATTTTTTCTTTTGTTGATAAAAAAAAGTTTTTCTTTTTTTGTTGATAAAATTGTTCTACAAGATTTAAGAAAAATGATTGTGTTTTTGTTGTTTTAGGATTGAGGAGGCAGATTCTAGACGGAGGGAATGGGACATTGGTGTTAGCGGCGGAGAGGACACGACGGCCGGACCCTCTTAACCATTTCAATATTTATACAGATGGTTGGAACGTTACCAATTCTCATTACATCGCCGTGAGTCTCATTTCATTAATTTCCAATTTTGAAAAAGTATCATAATGTCAAATTGAAATCAATGTGTTTAAGGAAACATCCGCTATAAATCCCTCAAAACCTTTTAATTTTGTTTTCTGCTTAAGAGGCGTTTTAGGCCATGAACTTGGTTTTGGGTAAATAATGTAGCAAGAGATGATAGTATGTAGCCAAAACAAAAACAAAGAAAAATACGAGGCACGTTGGCTTCTAAGGGGGCGTTTGGACTATTAAGCTACTTTTGGGACAACTCATGTAATTATTGATTAGTAATGGGCTAAACTAAAATAATGTAAAATATAATGTTCCATTGTTTTGTTGTGGGAAGTCACAAGTGGGTAGGATTTGCGGGTAAATCATGCGACAAGTTAAAAGCACCGGGCCAAATTTAAACTAAAGAAAATTTTGATCGTAGACTATTTGTTGTATCAAGTTACAACTTTTGCCCAACAAAATTCTTAAATCATATTTTTAATGATCATTATTATCATGGTTTTTTTTTCAGTCCGTTGGATTTTCTGCCGTACCATTCATAGTAATAGCGATCGTGTGGTTCGTATTCCTCGGCCTCTTCCTCATATGCTCATGCCTCTGTTGTTGTTGCTGCGGTTGCGGTCGCCGGACCTACGGCTACTCTCGCGTTTGCTACACTCTCTCTCTCGTCTTCCTCCTCCTCTTCACCGTCGCTGCCGTGTAGAAAACCAATTATCAAAGATTAATCACTATTTCAAATCTTGATAATAATCTTGAAATCTTGATTATTCATGTCGTTTGTTTTTTTTTCCTTTCAGGATTGGTTGTGCGATGTTGTACACTGGTCAAAACGAGTTTTACGGTAGTGTGGAGAAGACGTTTATGTACATTGTCACACAAGCAACTGGTGTTTTGAGTAAACTCACGAGTTTATGGGACTCGATTCAATCTGCTAAAGATATTCAGCTTGATGGACATAAACTGTTTCCTCCTGAGTTTAGAAGTAACATTGATCATTTCAATAACATGATCAAGATGTCTAACATCACTTACCCTGATCGTGTCGCTAATCAGACAATCCGTTATCTAACTGGAACATTAAACCCGGTGTAAGTGTTGTATAGTTGCCTTGTGTTACACGTTAAACAGAAAGCTCTGTTTATTTAAATCGATTCGTGTTTTTTTTTTTTTTTTCAGGAGACATGCGTTGAATGTGGTCGCTGGTGTTATGCTAGCAGTTGCATTCCTTGGTCTTTGTAAGTCTGTTACACTTTGCAGATATTCAATAATAATAATCAAACACGTATTTGAATTGAAATTGAGATTATACTGATGATCACTTTTGTATGTTTTTTCTTACAAATTTGTGATTTCTGAAACAGTATTTTCCTTCTGTGGACTGCGAGTTCTTGTCTACCTGTGAGTTAATCATCATAAACGATATATATTTGATTATATCCAATTGAAAAATATTTATAAAACTTTGGTTATAACTAGTGTTTAATTTATCAGATTAGTAATTCTTGGTTGGTTTCTGGTCACGGCAACGATCCTCCTAAGTGCCGTCTTCCTCGTTTTCCACAAGTAATGAAACTTTTTCAATCTAATTCACGATTCAAAGTTTTATTACTTTTTTTCTTTTATCAAACTAATTAATGGTGTTATTTAAAACAGTGTGGTTGCGGATACTTGTATGGCTATGGACCAATGGGTGCATGATCCAGCAGCAGACTCAGCTTTGAGCCAGCTTCTTCCATGTGTAGACGCTAAAACCATTGGAGAAACATTGGATATAACGAAGACGATGACTTCTACGGCCGTTGACATGACCAATGCCTACACGGTCAATGTCAGTAACCATGAGTTCCCACCTAATGTCCCTTTTTACCATAACCAGTCTGGTCCGCTCGTTCCTCTTCTTTGTAACCCTCTCGACCAAAATCACAATCCTCGACCTTGTGCTCCTGACGAAGTCCTACTCGCCAATGCTTCTCAGGTACATATTACCAATGACTGAATGTTATATGAAAAGTAGAATCATAAGAAGTATCATATATATTTAAATTTGTTAACATGCATGTTTGTGGTTTTTGGGTAAATAGGTCTACAAAGGCTTTATGTGCCAAGTGAATGCAGAAGGAATATGCATAACGCAGGGTAGGTTAACACCAGCTTCATATGACCAGATGATGGGTGCGATCAATGTTGGGTTCACGTTGGATCATTACGGCCCGTTCTTGGCTAGTATTGCTGATTGCACTTTCGTCCGAGACACTTTCAGAGACATAACCACTAAGAACTGTCCTGGACTCAGTATCACTAGCCAGTGGATCTATGCGGGGCTTGCGTCACTCTCTGGTGCAGTCATGTTCTCACTCATCTTCTGGTTGATTTTCGTTAGAGAAAGACGTCATCGATCTCATACTAAGAAGTCTATCCAGATGAATAGGTTTTAATCATTGGAGTCAGTCCATTGAGTGAGTGAGCCTATGTTATTATTATAGTTTTAATTTTAAGTTAATGTCTCTTTTTTTTCTTGTTGAAAACGTTGATGATATGTTTTTATCCGTATAGAATAAATTCGTCTTATCTTTTATCAACAAACAATTGAATGAGTTAGAACATGCTTTAGTTTTTTCTAGAAGGTGAGAAAGTATATAAATCAACAAACAATTTAGGATAATCTGACTTCATTATAGTTGTTATATTATTGATCATGTTAACTTAGCAAAAAAAATATTAGTATTAATGTTTCTTTTGAGTTTTTTAGAAAATATAAACTTTAGTTTTCAAAGTTGTCAGCTAGAAAGTTTGGCATTCTTGACTCGAGACAATTAAAAACAACATACATAGCTAGCGTGGAAGAGAGAAAAAAAAGTAACAAATGCTAAATTTACATCATATTTCGAAAAGAACTTAAAATTATTACACTTCCAACAGTTATTAAAAAAAAGCAAGATTTAAAACTTAAAATATTCGGTGAAACAAAAATATTGTTGTCAAATGACTTAAAAAATTTAGTGAAAAAAAAAAATTTTGAGTGTTAAATTTACGTTGTGTTGTGTTACGATCAAATACGTACGTAAAAGAAAAGATACCAACTTCGAATGGTTTTCACAATATATGAATTTAGCACTCATTTTTTTTTAATTATTATCCAAAAAAAAATTAAAATATTTTGTGAAAGCAAAAATTTTACTTTTCAAACTAGTTTTAGTCCATGAAAAAAAAATCTCAAAATAATTGAAACTTTGTAAACGTTTTCAACCTAAAAAAAGATTTGTGAAACTAATGTTAAAATTAAAAACTTGTTAACGACTGTGATAGACTTTCTGATGTTGAAGTTTTGCACCAATGGAGATTTGCTACACATATCACAGCGAAGCAAAACATACAAAGAATCAACTTTCCACAAAGAGTGATTTCAGGCAAATGAAAATGGGATATCAAAATAAGAACTTACCCGAACTCAAAGGGGCTTCCACATATGTTGGACTACGACTCCCCCGAAGACTTCCACATCTGTGTATTATTATTATTATTCACCAATCATAAAACAAATTTCTGAACATTTACAAATAAAATCTGTCAAATATTGAAGCACGAGTCTAAGATTCTCTGTTTTAACATACCCGATTTCAATTTACATGACTTGGAGCAAAAGCTTCTACAGACATCGACCTCTCATCTCTTTGTTGGGTTGTTGTAACAGCTGCGTCTAAAGTTTCCACATTTGTCGGATTAAGACTTCCACCAACATCTGTGATTGAAATAATGACAATCGATTTACTCGTCTAGTAAAGTAAACGAAGTGAGAGCAAAATCACAGAAACAGAGACACTTGAAAACAAAAATCGATTTTTAAAACTTACTTGAACAATAAATATTTGTTGGATTGAAAACACACATAAAGGAATAGATTAAACATTAAACGAAAATCTAATTTGTAATTTTTTTTTCTTGGCTAAATAATTGGCCACTGCTGTGTCGCTATCCATTCGGTGAGGAATTTTATTGGGTCGTGCAATATATGTTAAGTGGGCCTCGTAGCCCAAAAAGTTTTCCCTCTTCAAATCCATCTCCCAGAACCAAATCTTTCGAGGATTTTCTCGATTTGTATACCGTGAGAGCTACGATCAATTCATGGTTGGAGATGTCGAGCTTAACAATTTATTCCCTATGGGAGAGACCGTTGCAAACTTCCTTCTGTATGAGAGGTGAATTATTTTCGAGTTCCATGCCGGAAAAACTTATGAATGTCTTTGCCGAATTGTTTTCTTGTTTAGGAGTCTCGAGACCCGAGGAAACAAACATGAGCGCTTTGGTGAGTCTCGGAGGCGAGGCTTCAATTTCAACGTCACTACAAGTGATTAATTCCAGCCTTGGCGGCTTTACCGGTAAAAACTCTTCGACGCATTCGGATCTAGCCCCGAGTTCGCTGTCAATTGATCAATCTCTATCTGTTTTAATCATTTTGGTGTTTAAATTGTATTATCTAAATTTAAGAAGATGAATAATTTCTTCTTGTTGTATTGTAGAAGAGTAGAAATGAGAAGAATGTTGGAAAAAAAAAAAATTAGGATAATGACTTCATTATATAGGTGTTACATTATTGATGTTAACTTAGCAAAAAAATAGTAGTATAGAAACATTTGTTTTTCGTATTGTTTGTTTTACTAATTTTATAGGTGAAAAATGAGAACAAATGTTAAACATTCTATGGTCGAGTTGTGTAGGTTTTAACTTTCAATAAAGAAAAAGCCATTTAATGATTTTGAAAGCGAAACGTAATGTCATAGTGGTACAATGAATGTAAAATTATCTGTCTTTTTTTAACCTCAAGGCCGGTGTAGAATCCACGTATCCTTGTCGTTAACTTACAGTTTCCAAATCATTACTATTTTTTTCGTTATAGTCCAAAATTTGGTAAGATCACCCCCACCGGTCCTATTTTATTTGTCGGTATTTGACTTTCGTTTGTGTGAATCCTTTCCTAGGACGG